TCATCATCATTACTAAAAAATTCTAAATTGATCAATTTTGAAATGTATTTTGGCGAAGGACAACCATCTACTGTACAGCCCAAATGTAATATGTACATTAGAATAGGTAAAAATGTTATCATTAAAAATGCTCCAACTGGACCTAAAAATTCATATTCTCTTGTTCTAGGATTAAGTAAATTTGCTGGCTCATTAACTTTTTTTATTTTTGTCATTTTTATGAAAGAAAAAATTTATTTTTGATAGATTATTTATTGTGATACAACCAAAATTGGTGTAATCAAAAAATATCAATTTCAGTATTAGTATGTAATTTTGCAATGATCAGGGTAAAGAATACAGTATATTAATATTAATATTAAGAAATTTTTCTGGCAAAATTGAAGACCCTGTTTTTTACCCTGACAAACAAAGGATTTCGGTGTTCCACGAATTTAATCGCGTTGTATATATAAAATAAAAAAATATATATATAATAAACTGCAGCTGCAGAGCCAACATTGGTTTTAATTCGATTTCTGATAGTGATAGTTTTGTTGGTTTGTTTAACAGATTATTGTTTTACACAACAACTTTTCGTGCTTAAATGGCTTTGTACAGTTTTTATCTTGCGTGACCTATGTGATTATATGATTGTGATGTTTTATTAATTAATTGTTGGCTGGCTATCTTTCTTTCTTACGATCTTAAATGATCCATGTGATCATGATGTTTTATTAATTGTTAGTTATTTTTCTTAACTATTTATCAATCAACAATCAATTAGATTAGATAAAAAAATTTGTGTATTATATGGTTATAAAAAATTTTATGTTAATGAAAAAATTTAATGAAAAATTTAAAATCTGATAATCTAATAATAATAATAATAATGTGTACTATTTATTTTCACTGGTTTCGTTTGCAATTTTTGAATACGAAGTTTTATGGGCTAATGAGAAAAAGATTCCAGATCAGTAATATACAGACTGTAGGGCGGTTCACTGTGGAAGATGGCTTGTAAATATGTATGTATTAATAGTAGTAATAACAACCAAAATTGCTTGTGGTTTGTTTAATTTTTTTATAATGTTAAATTTTTAGCAAACAACAATATAATCGACCAAGTTTTTTTTATTGGGTGATAATGACGATGATGATAATAATGACGACGACAATAATAGTAGAAGTAACTGCATTAACAATGATAGTAATAGTAGTGGTGGTCGTGTTAATGATAATAATGGTAGTGGTTGCTAGTGACCATGACCAACTATCACAAACATTTCCTCTATTCGTATGTACTGGCACGTACATTAACAACACCCACAAAAAGGATAATAAATTGGGATATGAGTGCATCGGTTTGATGAAAAGGACCTGCAATGGAGTCGCTAAAACAAAAAATCTCGAAACAAATATATTGATTGGAATCGTATCCTATCAATTCTAGGCAAAAGAATTTATTTTACGATTAAACTAGCATATAAACTATATTAGATATATGAAACTAATTGTATAAATGATTTATTCATTAGTTTCCAATACATCAAGGATAATCTTAAATGAACTGTAATTTCAACGGCTGGTATATTTTTTTACAGTTGGAGGCCCTGGAGTTAAAATTTACGTATCCGGTTATAGAGTCATCGTCGTCGTTATCGCCACCATCATCATTAAAAAAGGAAAAAAGTTGACAAGAATCGAGCAGCATTGAAAAAAACATGAGGACACGTTCGTTCAATCAAACAGTTTTTCCAAAAATAAAAGGTCCTTTAAGTCACCAGGAAATAAAAGAAAGGCCATCAAGAAAAGAATGTAGTTTGAAAAGGTTGTTGAGGTTACTTTTCCAACATTCAACAATATAGTCAAGGTAATAGCCTAAAAGGAAACAAGCAATTTTGAAATTGATAGGAAAAGGGCTTTCAGAAACTATTCCCGCTCCAAATGCCTTCTCGTTGACTGTTCATAAAACACAGGGTTTGGCCATCTGTTTCGATGAGAACATATTTTCTGAAGGCCAAGCATATATAGAACAAACTCCTTGGAAACTTACACATCCTGAAATCTGATTTTCTCGGATAAAGTGTTCAAAAGTGTTTTGATCGAGTATGGGAGATTGGAGAAAGTTAATCATGATGGATTGATGTAAAATGTTTATTACTGTAATAAATGTAATTCAACATATAAAAAAAGTAGACCCGTGACCTTTTTTGGGGGATAGCACATCGCTCCTTGCTTACTGCAACATCTTGTTTTTCTTTAAATGTTTTAATAATTTTTTTTGTATTATTGTGTCCCAGGTGATTGATTACTTTGTTTTTGAAAATCAATTCATCATTTAAAGTGCGAACTCATGTATTTTTCTCTAAATAAGGATAACACGCACCCAACCCACCAATAAAATTGTATATTTTCATGATGCTGCGCAAATTTGCTGACAATTTTGCGGAAAATATAAGATTTTAAATCAAAGGGATCTGAAAATATAAAGTTAACTGAATTCAAAATCAGAAAAAAAAAACGGACTCTCAATATGAAGTTCACCATATCAAGATTTTGTTGGTCATAAAATTTGCATTTGGATTTACTTTTTGTTTTAGTGTATTTATTTATACTATATTCAATATTTTTATTACAAGAGAAATTAAAGAAATCCTAAGAAGCATTTATAATATTAAATATTAGTATTGCTATTACTATTCGAATATTCACATTTGTATTAGTATTAGTATTTATTAAAATAATTATTATATTTTGAATGTCCGCAACACTTTCAAATATTAATATCTGTAATACTCGTAATACTTAATATTAATTAAGATGTCTTCAGTAAATGATTTTAATTAATGAAGAAACAAATTCTAATTTTTCATCAGATTCCATTACCAATGATAGATTATGTAAACCACCAAATAAAAAAAATATAAACTTTTGACGAAACATGAAGTCCTATACATCTGTTCCTGCAGAGCAGTTATTTAGTGATGCTGGAAACTATATTACACCAAAGCGTAAAAAATTAAAACCTGATGAGTAGAAAAGTTGAATAGGATTAGCAAATATAATATTTGGTTTTTAAAATTTGATACAGGGTCACAAAAAAAAAAATACCACAAAAAGAAATGTTGTGTCAAATAGAAAATAATTTGCTTATTTTTTTTTTAAAAATTAAATATTAAAAAGTTAAAATGTCCTTTAACAACTTATATCGTTTATTAACACAAGACAGGAAAGAATTAGTAGCTAAAATTTGTAATGAAATAGCTAGTATTGCTTATTCTGCTTTTCCAGCTGTTTCTGACCTTGAAAATAAAAAAAGTTATTTTTTACAATTAGTCAAAGAAAACAAAGAACTATTAGAAAGTGAAAAGGAATATTGTAGAGAAAGGTTTATTTGTGCTTTTGAATTAGCGAATGCAATTTATAAATATGGTGAACCAAGAGAATGCAATAATTGTAAAACAACAAAATACTCTGATAAATATTGTGAAAAGTGTATTAGTCTACA